CCGGATCGACATGCGTCACAGAAGATGTGCCGTCGGAAATCACCCAGGCGACCGTTTGCGCTTTCTGCGCAGCTCAGAGCCTGCTTGCAGTTTGACTGCACCAGAACGACAAGCCGCCGCGCGCTCTTCCAGCCGCCGCAAACGTTCCACGATAGCCTTGGGCGGGCCGCGCTCCAGCATTTCTCTCGGCGGCGGCCGCAGCAGCAAAATATCGCCCAAGCACGTGACGCGAGAAAACATCACGTACAAATGCAACCACCAATTGTCCTCGTCGAGTTCAGGGAGTCGCGCGCAATCGATGACCGTGCCCTGTCGCAGAGTCACTCCCTGCGACGCTGTGCTAGTGATGAACTTGGCACAAACAGCGTCTGATCACATACTTTCGCGCGCTGGAGAAGTGTATCTTCACTTCCGTAGCAGGAAGAAACCACAGACTGCGCGCCAGTTCCTCCGCTGCATCGTTGTCTGCTACGCGTGGACGACAAAGGCCCGCCATAGTTTTCCAATCTTTGTTGCCAGCGTACTTGCACACGCTTACCCAGAGACCCGATGGCAAAAACTGTGGACTGAAAACGTCACCGCCTGGCGTCTTGTTGTATGCTGCGCGGTCCTGCTCGTGAAACTCGAAATCCAAGATGGTTGCCTGGGTATCCTGAACCATCCCCTTCTTCGCATCCATCTTCTCCAGCAGACGAATTTCCATGCCTACATGACAGGGCAGCACGCCGTGCATGTGACCGGTTCGATTTGGATTGGCCTGATTGAGTAGCCGGAACGCAACGTCTCTGTTCAGATCGGAGCACTCGTCAGCACATTGCAGCAACACCAGCGGGACGCTTCCTCGCACAGCATCCAGGATGGCCCGGCGGAAAAGCATGCGGGATAGGGAGGCCCAATAGATGGACATGCAATAGCCCGAGCGGAAGTTTTCCTGCTTCAGTCTGGCATCTGGCCGACCCGGACCCTCGTCCCTCACGAACCTCTGCTGAAAAGCCGACCAGAGTCCTTCGGACAACGGGCGGCCTGCGCGCATGCACTGCAGCAGCTCGATCAATGGATCGCCATCTTTGAAACGCTTCGTCCCTCGCAGCTCGAACACGTCTTGAATGTTTGCAAACACTTGCTGCGCGTGCTGGACTTCGGGCGGGACATCCGAATGCAGCAAGCAACCATGCACGTCTCGCGCCTCCAAATCATCCAAGAGCGACAGCTGAGCAATGGGACGGAGCTGCAAGAAGTCTCCCAGATGCAGAACTATAGGTACACGGCCAAAGGCATGAATAATCCGGGTGTGCGTCTGCGGGTCCACAAGGTGACTCAGCCGGCGACCCAGCATGGAGCGATAATCCAGCATGTTGTACAACAAGGAAGCCACCATGCTGATCTCTTCCACGATCAGCACGCGCACACGCTGCCACATTGCCTCCAACTGCTTCTCCTTGTTGCCGGCCGCCATCTCGCTGTTCGAGAGCCTCTGCACACGCATGCATCCAGCGGCATGCACCGTCGTGGCTTGCACAGAGGCTGTCGAAATGTTTTTAGCTTGTGAGTTCTTAGCAGCCACCACTCGAAGAGTCTCCCTGCCATCGACAGGTGGCCAGATAAACAAAACAATAGGAAAGATGACATTCTGCACCACGTGCGTTTTGCCGGAACCACCCTGGCCCAACAGGAGCACGTGATACACCCCACGCTCCTCCGGCCTCTTTCGCTGTTCCTGCCAAAGCACCGGAGAAGGAAACAAAACAAACACAATACTGTAAAAGACAAAAAATCATACATACATAATACATAAACAATGCGAGTGAACGAGCACACGTGAGCTTCAGCTCAAAGCGCGGAATCCGGCCTCGTCATAGACTTTGTTCAGCACGTCGCCAAACCGCAACATGAACAACTCCTGATCTTCGTTGAGCTTCTCCTTGGCCGGCAAAGCAAACATCATGTCCGCCAAAAATTCGGAAGGCTTTTCGTACACGGTCTGCTCCGCGAAGCGCACGCAGTCTTGCGGCAGACGCGGCAGCAAGGCTCGCAACACTCGCAGGTGCTCGTCGTCCGCGCTCTCCAGCTGCTCTTTCTCTGACTCTCTCTTTCGGAGCGACTTCAACATATTGGCGCGAAGTTCCTAGGGATCACCATGAACATCGCGTGGAGTGACACTCTCGACCAACACACAAAGGAAAAGGTACAGAACGGAACAAAAGGCGATTCTATATGTTGATCGAAAGACTGGCCGCAATGGGCCCAAAGTCGTGAACACTGCTTTATGTATGTGCAGGTCTGGCGGCGCGGCCCGTGCCACCTCGAAAGCATCCTGCTGGAGCCAGGTCTCCTCCAAAAACTCATTCGTGTACTGATTTTTCCTGGCTTGATAGCCTAGCTCGAGCAACTGCCGCCGTTCTGCCTCCTTTGGCCGATAGGTGATAACCAGAAACACCGCGGATGGACGTTTCGGACCCTCCTCCACGTCCTCCTCTTCGTTGTCCGCGTCCACATCCTCGACCTCGCCAGCGATCGTTATCTTCACAAAGTCTTGCTGCAGATACTGATCCATGTCTCGCCTCTTCTTGGGCTTTTCCTGCCGAGCTCGGGCCAGGCTTTCCAAATTGACCACTCGCTCCAGAGCTTGCATAGATGAGTACATGGCGACCGTGGCTCGCGGCCCCGGCTGAGCGGCGCCTGCAGACACCACGGGCTCCTGTTCGCCCAATTCCGCCTGCGCAAGCTCCAACTTTTCCTGCATGGCAGCCTGCAACTCCTCCGTCTCCCACAGAGAAGGATACTCCTGCCGCTCGGCAAACCGCAGGCGCCCTTCGTCTGCCGCCGTCTGCGCCTCCGCGAACCATTCCAGATAAGACTCGGTAAAGGCAGTGGCAGCTGCCCGTGATCGATTCTTCGTTGCCGGCTCACGAGGCTGAGAGAACATCGTGAAGGCCTCGATCACCAGGTCTTCCGTCGAAGTACCAGGCACGGGACACGCGGAAACTGCGAAAGGCCGGCAGTGAAGCTGTTTGTACACGGCGTTCCGTTCACTGTCTGTCGTTAATGTAGGCATGGTGAACCCTTCGAACATCGGAACTCTAGGTTCCGTACTGATGCGCTGGCAGTGCGTGTTGTACAACTTGTAAGCCGAGCTGAAGTACATGTCCTGAAATCGAGGTACAGCCGCTCTGACAGAGGTTTCAGCTCGGGGAGGAAGCTCCACCCTATATACCCACATTCCGTAAGTGGACCAGCTCATCTCCTTCAGCACCGGATGCTCGCCGCGAAACAACTAGTCCTCCAAACTCGACGTGGTCACCGACAAGTAGCCAGCCGTCTGCGGCACGCAATCCGCCGCCATGACCGGCGCATCCTCGCCTGGATCATGCACTAAAACCAGAGCTCGCTTAGGCTGCATATCCCTTGTCCCGTCTTCCCAATCCGGGTCGTCCGGGATTACGTCGCATCGCGAACTTCCCAATCCGGGTCGTCCGGCAAGAGGCGACCTCAGGATCAAACACTATTCTACCTTCATAATGGTCACACCACGACACGCCGGCCGGCCTGTCTCTTGCAAAGATCTCAGGTTCGTCTCCGCACCTGCGTCCTGGGCATCGGGATCTGCTAAGTTCTCCTGGACAGCATGTTGATTGAGGAGCGCCTGCACGAACGTCAGCTTGTGCTGCGGGAGCTTGCAAAGACTCAGGGCCGCCTGGTTCTGCTCGAAGACTTCCTGCACGGAGGCGCATATCTGGGGTCCAACGAACAGTTGAAACCTTTCATCCGTTAGCTCGTCTTGGCGCTCAACCTTGCGCCAGCCACGCATGAGCACCGGATCCAAGCCCTCCCGGAAGTAAATCACCGGTTGGCCCGTTTCGCTGTCGGCAACAGCAGCACGCAAGATGCAGTCTCCGTACTCACGCCGCCATGCCTCCAAGCAGAAGAAGATGGCTTTCTTCGTGTACAATTTCCAAGTACGATGGGAGGCGTACGTCAGATGCCCGTACAACAAAGGAAAGATTACTTCTGCCCCGCTTTTCCAATGACACCTCCGATATGAGGAACTCAAGCGACTCAAAGTCTTCAAGGACTCCGCAAACAGCACGCCGCCACGGCGAGGAAGCTGCTGCCCAGCAGCTCGCGCTCGTTCAGCTTCCTCCGCACGAAGCTTTTCTCGGCTTTCGCGTTCTTGCTCCAAACGCTCGATGCCTGTCCGGAAGAGTCAACACAAAGCAACAAAAACACGCAGACCATGGGGACACCAACAGCTGCATATTCTAGAAGCCTCGACGAAGCTCTTCCAGCACGCCTCCCAATCCCTGATTCGGCTTCGTGTCGTATCCTGACGAAGAATACAGAAACAGAATCAGGCTCCTACAATAACACACTCGACACGTGCCTATGTAGGATGCTGCAGGAGCAGATTTGTTTGCCGTCCTGCCCCCCCCC